GGGTAGGGGGTGTGGGTGTGGCGGTGTGGGGTGCAGGTGTATAGTTGGGGGCAGCGGCGGCGCGAGCGATATACACGGGCGGCGGTCGCTGCATGCGTACACCTGGCTGCTAGCTACCTGTCCTTGTCGGCTGCATGTTAACCTGTGCGGTGCAGCGACTATACAGAGAGAGATCTCAACGCACCGACGCGTTGCGATAGTGAGATGAAGATTGGATCATTTCTTACGGCGCATAGATACGTAACGATGATAGCTTAATGATGGCCAGCGAATACACTCGCGCGTAACGCTCGCGGTACGCACGTACATGCACACGCACGCACGCACACTCACGCACACATATGGACACAAGGACACATTGGCACACACGAACCCCGAACTCACACGCGCGCGCGCGCACGCACGCACGCACGCACGCACACAGGTGCACGCACTAATATTTATTACACATAAATATTATCAAGAGCTAATAATACCAATAATAAGGTATTATTAGCTCTTGATATTATTTGTGCGTCTATGTGTGTGCACGCGCGTGTGCCTGCGCGCGTCCGTGCGTGCGCGTGCGCGTTGGCGAACACTTGTTGAATATATTTGGTTTACCAATAATTGTAATATGCGAGATAGGAGCTGTCGCTGTGAATAATACGCGCATATGATGCGATCGTGTTTATTAAGATGCAATCAAGTGCATCCTTGGCGGTAAACAATATCAATGTCTACGTTAGATGCCGCCACCGCCGCAGGTCGTCTGCGTGGAAACTTGCTAAATGATATTAGGAGCACATGATATGATGACCTCTGTATATCATGTTACATCCCATCGTTCCATCACGTCTCTATACCATGTTATGAAGAGGTAGTAATACATTATTAACATAATATAATAATAAGGTATTATTAACTCATACATAATATAATAATAAACATCTGTGCCTGTGTGTGTGCGACTGCATGCGCATGCGTGTGCACATCTCCGTCTGCATTTCTCTCTCCCCCTGTCCGTCCCTCATTTCTCTCCTCTTTCCTTCCTCCTCCCCTCTCACTCCCTTCCTCTCGGTATTTCCCTTCCCCTCTCGTGGATAGTAAGGAATAAGTGATTACTTTTCTCCACTGTTAATGTTACTGCTTGACACAGCAGATGAAAGATCAGCATAAAGAACCAGCAACTGTTTATTATTATTATTATTAAATCTTTATTGCATGTAATTCAACTACAAATACATGTACTGAAGACAGTCTTTTTCATGGAGAACAAAATCTGATAAATGCAAGTGTTGAGCAGTTAACACGTTCAACGCTGCCTGGTTAACAATGCACCTACCGCCCTGTGCTGAGATTTTCGCGTTTTTACCGCTTAGTCACAAAATGTTTTTGGCAGGTTTAACTAGCTATAAAATTATTTATAATTAGTGGCTAGTATAATATAGATATAAACTTACTCTCAGACATCAAAACAACACCGGAATCTATCACCCGTGATCTATCAAATCAAACACAACTTTCAGACATAAAAACAACTTCACAACACACGGCGGTCAAACGCCCTTTGGCGAGGTGAACTAAAAACATTACCTCTGTCCCAAAAACTCCCAAAATAACGTTCCAAACAACAGTAAAGTATTGTATAAATGATGTCATCTACTACTGGGGTTTATACAGTGATTATTTTGAATCTATAGGAGAACATAGTAAACGTTCCAAATTAATTATTTTGATTTTTTTTTTTGCCACGAGTATACTCGTGTTTTGCGGCCGTGCGTTTTGCAGATTTGAACGAGTATACTCGTGTTTCGCGTTGAAAGTGTTAAAATAATAAAATTTCTGAATGATACACAATTTCTGAGTGAAAATTGTGTGATACATAGTTCTGAGTGATACATGTTGTCAGGACTGTGACATGAATCGACGTGAATGACAATATGAAACGGTAATATCTCAGGTAATATCTTTCTACCAGAGAGCCCTGCTCGTCCTGAAATGGGTTAAACCCTTCAGGCATGTACGTTTCGTAATCGTCATACCTGCTTATCATCCACCAGGTGTCGTCTAGAATAACCCCTGATGGCGGAAGAGGGATAACCCTGTCTATATAATTTTGAAATGGGTGGTTGTGGCAGGTTAACAAAGTCCGACACTCGCGTGATGTAGTCGATGGAACGAAGGCAGCACATACTCAACCGCCCCGACAAGACACGACTTGAACGCAGCGTTGCATTTCAAGGAGAAAAGAAAAAGATGTATTTCTCCGTCCTCCAAAAATCGGATGTTAGGACGAACTCCAGCAGGGGAACCTCGGGCAGGTAGTCGCGGTCCTCCAAGTGCTGGAACTCCTCGAAGTAGCGTCCTGCCAGGTCCCTCTCCTCCTCCGTCCGCTCGAACTTGAGGAACTCCGGCAGGTTGTCGAGGGTCGGCGGTAAAGCTTCCCAGTCATCCCAGTAATGCCAGTCCGGTCTCGATGGTGTCGTGGGGGCTGGGGCGGAATCCCAGTCCTCCTCTTCCCAGTCCAGCTGCTATACCTGCCAGTCTTCCTGGTCCTCCAGTAGGTCCAGTAGGTACTCTGGCAACAGGTCTTCCACCGTGGCTGGGGGCAAATGTTACAGTGCTTTAAATCCGGAACACTGGACATACTACTAATGACCTTATTTCTATACCTGATAGACTATCTGTCACATATATATTACATTTATAACCAAGGCCACCGACAGATGGCGCACCGTTCCTGATATGCTTCTAGCCACAAAGCTGTATATAATCTGAGAACAATATCATTATACAGTATATGTTGTTCTCAGTACATAATAACATGTTACTATATATACAGCTCAATGCTCCTACCTCACTGTTACACTCTTACACAATGACACCTTTACATTAACGACGTTTATGTAATTGAAATTCATTATGCGATCTCAATTAAAAAATAAATGTGCACATTCTGTGACTGCTTTGCTGTCGGCCCTAGCTCTAAGGAGATACCTTTGAGCTAGCTTTAGTACTATAGCCCTACTTGGCTCTGTCACATTTGTATGTCACAGAGCTAACGAGGACTATAGTACTAAAGCTAGCATTGGGCATGCTTCCACGGGCAGCATTGTGGAAGCAATTACAAAACTAATGCATGGTAAAACTATACTAACCCCAGCTAACACGCTGGACACTACTGGATGCCACACACAGTTCCCGGTCGCTGTACGTTCCCTCCTCAACATAAGCAACCCCGTTGTTGTGAGCGGAAATGAAGGCAAGCTGGTTCGACGTGGGATTCATGCGGATGAACCCGGTTTCTCTGTGAAGCACTCTCTATGTTCAGCAAACGAAAACAAATAAAACAATGTTACGATCACACACAACACACTAAAGTAGGTCAATCCTGGCCACAAGTTATCTTCTCGCTTCTCACTACATGGTATTTACACGAATTTGTGTACATACCATGTACACATCCTATTTTGTGTCAATTTATAACTTCCCATGATACTGCAAAAATTATTAATGCTATCATGTCAAATAGTAGATTAATGCATGTGTGGCGGTGGCACTGGTCAGCACGGGTTCCCAGCGCGGTAAGGGGGGAGTAGCTCACTGGGAACCATGGGTAGTTTATGTATAGATGTTCTCGTGTTTCCCGCCTGTACTCTACGGGACAACTGTTTTGCGCTTCTCGCGCCATTTTACTGCCGCTAGTGGGGGTGGGGGGGAGTACTCCGCGTAACATGTCTGCCCCCTTTGTTGACATTCAAACGATCGGTAAGCAAACCCAAGACAAAACAATACTAAAGGACTGTAAACATCACAAATGATTACACAATCATGAACATGAGAACATCTATCCATAGACTACCCGTGGTGACCAGTGAGCTACTCCCCCTTACCGCGCTGGGAACCCATGGTGACCGGTGCCACCGCCACACTCCTCTCCCCTTCAAGATCGACTGTCAGGTCAACCCCGAGGCTCACCTGGCGTTGCACCGGCACCCGGCGCGAAGCAGCACAGCTGTCTCTACTGCTGTGCCAGCTTGTCCTCTGGCTGCAACAGCTCCATGACGGACTCCGTCCTCTGCTTCAGCTCTGCCTCAGCCTCCTCCTCGATCAGCCTCCCACTTCGCTGCTGGGCTTGGCCCCCAGGCAAAGGCCTGGCGCAGCTGGACCAACCCCACCTGGGACACGTATTCCGGCGCCGGCCCGCCTTCCGCACCGCTATACTCGGGGTTATCCCAAGCCCCGAGAGCATACGCTGTCTGACTCCACAGGTTGCAGAATTCCCGGAACCCGGCTGGTCACTGCCAGCCAAGATACCTCCTGATGCTGCCGCCCCAGGTTCTGCAGCCAGGGCTGCCTGCAGATGCCTAACATTGCTTGTACTGCTGTAAGTTCTTCTCAGACACGAGACGAAGTTGAATATTTACAAAGGTGGCCTCCTGGTTCAAACGTTCCAACAACATGTAGAAGGGCAGCTGTCCATTGCCTGTAGAATTAATGCGGCGGTGCCACTCCTCGACATCATTGTTCGTCCGCACACTCTGTCCGAATACACACCAGCTGGCTGGCGACCAAACCGTGCTGTCCAACCACGTCATCCGTACGTAATTGACGAAGTTGAGCAGCTTGTCAGTATTGGCACGCCTAGCCAGTCGCTCGAACATGATTGGGATGTTTCTCCGGTATAAACGGCAGCGCCATGATGCGTTTAATGTACTGGTGGGTCCCGTTGTCCTGCATATATGCTGGCACCAGACCCAGATCCTGTACTTTTCTCCACAGCGCTTGCGTCCAATGGAACACACGCAGTTTGGACTTCAGGGCTTTCCAGATAGCCGCTTCAAAATCGACGTCAACTTCTTTGACCGTGACTGGACTTTGGGGACTTGTTGGCAGGAGTTCCAGTATTTTCTCCAACACCTTCTTGTAGTCCGCCGACCGCTTGCCTAACATTAAACAGTATACCAAAGGTACCTGCTTTTTACAGTCGTCCTGTTTGACGAAAGTGTGGATGGTAACCAGCTGAGTGAAGGGTGATCTCACCAGCTTAAATGTTCCATCTATATACCACCGCTTTGCATTCTTTAACAGGGCCAACTGGGAATCGGTGGCAAACGGAACGTGTCGTCGAGTTGACTCTGCAATATCCCCCTTGAAACACCCCCTCTGCGATGTGGTCTTCCTGGACAACAAACTGCAAATCTGTTGGATCCTTGGGTCTCATTCGCTGCCGTAAGTAGTTGGCGTTCCTTGCTATGTTGATAGGTTTGCCTAATGCTGGGCAAGGCGCGCCATACAACTCTTGACGTCCATGGAGTGTGCAGGATGTCCACAGACAAGCACAGGCCAGCTGCGCGCAAGCTGTACACACACACACACACACACACACTCGATTGCACTATTTATTGTCTAAACAAATTCCCAATTAGTTCGCACACAAGTCAATTTGCGTCTCTCCTCCTCCAACCACCTCGTTGACCTGTTCCGGTGCGTGGCTCAGAGTGGTCAACCGCGAGCTTGACCGCTGTATAGTAATACCAGTGTAGGCCTACTGTAGGGTGGACCATACCGCGAGGCACCTGCACTGACACCGACCGAACGACACGTGCGCTGAATCTTAAAAGTCTACTTCATAGTTATATGCAAAATGAATTTAATAAATTAATTGCAGAACATCGCAGCATCGAGTAGTCGCAGCAGCCGTGAGTAAAGGAGTTACTGTAGACGGATTTACGATGTAATCGTATTTAGAGCAACGATTTTAAGCAACTCAATGTCACCAAATATAGTGATATGCTATCATTAGCGTATAAAGAAGCTTCTTTATACGCTCTTGATGCTTTCTCTCATAATCATAGTGATTAACCCCCTATCACACTTACACGCACGCACGCACGCACACACGTGCACAGCATATCATTAATTAAGGAGGCAGATCGGGCAATAAGCTAGCAGCGACAGTGAGAAATAGCAAGCGATAGTAGCAGCAGCAGTAGTTCCTATACCTTCTAAGCTACATATGGTATACGACCAATATCGTATCTTCCACTAAGCTAGCAGCGACAAAGATAAGCAGCATGCTATAGTAGTAGCAGCAGCGGTTTACCTGTCGCAGGTAACTCCGCAAATGTCACAGGTAACTGCTTAACTGTCACAGGTAACTGCCTAACGCCTACCCTCTAAACTAGATATGATGGGATAGCCCCCAGGAGAGCAGGTTCGCTCTAGGCAAGCAACAACAGAGAGAAGTAGCAAGCGGCAGCAACAGCAGCAGTTTAGCTGTGACAACCTACCTTCTATAAGCTAGATACGGTATACGGCGGCCTCATGCGGTTAAGGCTACGTCACCGTATCTTCCTCTAAGCAAGCAGCGACACAGAGAAGTAGCAAGTAGAAGCAGCAGCAGCAGCGATTTACCTGGAACGACCGTACCTTCTCCCCCGGACCGGGTCTGCTTGGCTATGCACATGTCGTTGTCGATCGGAAACTTGTCGCACTGGAACATCTCCGGCCACGGGTACCCGTACGTGCTCATGCGTGCCTCGCAGCCTGACCGCACCGCCTCGCACAGAGACCTGCACGGATAGATGGGACGGTCGAGGCAGACGGGAGCGTAGAGCGAGCAGAGGAAGAGCTGCGCGTCTGCGTGGCAGGCGATGCTCAGCAGAGGCACCCAGGCTCTCGCTTGCTGCGTCACTTCCAGCATCGTGTCGTGTTCCAGCAGGTTAGGCAGACGCATCTTGCTGTAGCCGATGCCCTGACAGAGCGTCACGTTGCTAGGGATGTCGACACATGTCGGCTGGCTGCGAGCGCCCGACAGCGCCCAGTCGACGATGTAGTCGGAGTCGACAGCCGTCGCTGCGACGATGACGGCTAGAAATCCGAGCAGCCACCACCTGCACAGCATCGTCATAGCTCTCTCTCTATGGCACGCCTGCTCTCGTTCTATGGCACTGTCTGTCTGTCTGTCTGTCTGTCTGTCTGTCTGTCTGTCCTACCTGCGCACGCGAGGCAGCGAGAGCGAGAGAGAGAGAAAGACGGGAGCGCAGAGATGCTACTTCTGCAGTTATTTCTGCTGCTGATGACGATGATGATGACGATGTCGGTACTGATCCTGTCCGTGACCAACGCGTGTGCGTGCGTGCGCGTGCGTGCGTGTGCGTGTACGTGCGTTCGCGCACTGTCTTCCCTCACGCGGCCTACGTCTGTATAATATACCCTACCACCGTCAGCCCGTATATAACAACGACGGAGCGGAATAGCACGTGACCGGTGCAGCGAGCCAATCAGACGGCTGCGCTGGCGATGAGGGAGGGATGTCAATCAAAGCAGCGGGACGGCAGCGAACGCAATTCGAGCCGCATCAGCCAATTACTCTCCTTTATCGCCGTGAGAGGAATTAAGTCGCAGCCGCTAACGTGTGCATGCAGTTCATGTCGGGCGAGAAATCTCACAGCAAAATGCTCGCCCGCGCCGGTATGCGTTAAGAAAGAAAGATATATATATATATAT